TGTGATAGATTGAGTGATTGACAACCTCACACGCCATTTCAGATTCTTCTCTCCTCATCTCGCACCTTCTCGCCTCTCTGAAATTCCACCGTGGAGACGCAACTACGGTACATTTCTACAGAAATGCGATTGCACTAAAAAATTTCAAATTCCAAAACAAAGAAAACTTCCAAACCCTAAATCTCACTCTCAGTCGCCGGCAGCCCCATCGCCATCAAAATCTAAATCAGGAACCTCCTTGTTTGCCTCTTCCTGCAACACGATCGTCTCTTCAGTCGCTCCAACGAACCCATGTGGCCTCAAGTGTCCATCCATCGGCGACTCAATCGAATGGCAGGTGAGGCCCACTCTTTAATTGGTGGTCGGAGGGATATGCCAAGCTGCTTCTGTAGAAATCAAGGTTTTCTTTCCCTAAAAATATTTCGATTATTTCATTTCTCCATCAGCATATTTCAAATTGAAAAGATGGATTGATGTTTATCTGTTAAAATTGCAGCCAAAAGGGCCCCAACTTGTGAGTCGCTGAATGGTTTAAGTGGGGCTGCAAGTAGAGATCACCCGAAATCTCCAGGTGTTGTTGGTTTCGCCGCAGGTAATGTCTGTTGAACAAGTTTTTATTTTCTTTTATTTTTCCCTTTCTATGTCTTAGTTGGTGGCCTTTTTGCTTCGTTTTGCTTTGGCTGTCATTAATTTATTCGATATTAATGTCAGTAGCATGTGTTAAATAGTGGCAGATTTTAGTTTTATTTATATATTGATATAGGATATTATACCCACAAGGTTAAACCGGTAAATAGACCGGTCAAGGAGGTCGTATTATGAGGAGGCCAAGGAAATCAAGCAGTTAACCAGTCGACCAAGCAAAGCTGTCGACCAAATTATCTCTTGATTAGATGAGCGATCGAGCAGTCTAGTCGGCCTCGATAAGTCGACCACCTCGAGGACTTAACACCACGCGGATTGGCCTAGTCACAGGCGCGTGAGAGAGCCCTAACTGAATTCCAGGAGAATATTTACCCCATGTGCAGGGGAACACGTGTCGAGAAGGTAGTGGTTGATAGCGATATCCACCTCTGACAGCCTACCCCATGTGCAGGAGGACACGCGTCCAAAGGGGATTGGTGCATGCGATAGTGGCGACGGCTACCTCTGACACACGCGTATGGTGTGTACGGATGGGCAGCTAGGGCAGACAGCTCACCAAATTCGTGCAGCCCTAGGTCAGGTATCTCACCCCTATATAAAGGGGGTGAGCCTTTCTTCTTCAACACGATCTTTCTATTGCTTACTCTTGAGAATTGATTGAAAATACACTGACTTAAGCTTTGGAGGCTCTTCACCGGAAAACCCCTCCGGTGTGAGAGTTCTTTGTAGGTACACGACGTTCAACCGACGAAAAGGAAGGCGATTATTCAAGTTCCAGCCGGTCGGGA